ACACCACACTCATAATCATTTTGTCAAACCAGCAATTCCAATTAAAACTTTCTTACTAGACCACAAAGAGCTAATCTACCCATCTTTTCTTCTCTGAACATTTTTTTAGCTTATTTGATTAGGGCTGGCATCAGGCTGAGCTAAAATATCAGTGCTGCTTCAGCTCTTGCTATACAGGTAGTCCTCGACTTATGACCACAATTGAGCCTAAAATTTATGTTGCTAAGCAAAACATTTGTTAAGTGAAATTTGCCCCACTTTATGACTTTTCTTGCCATAGTTGTTAAGAGAATCACTACAGTTGTTAAATTAGTAACACGGTTAAGTGAATCAGACTTCCCCATTGAATTTGCTTGTCAGAAGGTCACAAAAGGTGATCACATGACCTTGGGACACTGCAACCGTCATAAATATGAGTCAGTTGCCAAGCCTCTGAATTTTGATCACATGACCATGAGGATGCTGCAACAGTCATAAGGGCGAAAAACAGACATAAGTCACTTTTTTCAGTGACATTGTAACTTTGAATGGTTGCTAAATGAACTGTTGTAAATTGAAGACTACCTGTAGTACCAGAATATATACTCCTCCATCAAAAAAGAAGAGATTCTTGCTTGCAGTAAAGCATCCATGGACTGGACAGAAGGTGAGACTAGATGATCTCTAAGATCTCTTCCATCCCTTCCATTTTATGACAGTATCATAGACAGACTTTAATATGTTTTAACCAGATACATATATCAGAATACCAGAATGGAAGACAAAAGAACCAGAATTCCCCTAGAATAGTTTTACTCAAAAGGATGTCTAAAGTTTCATCTCTATTAAGTACATTTGCCTCTTCATCACTAAAAAAAAAAAAAAAAGCCTTGGAGAAATCAACACATTTAATGTTTCTGCTTTGGATCTCAGCGATAACACATTATTCAGTGCAGAGACCTCATATTTTAATTCCAACTAAACTTGACTTATCCAGCAAAATTGGCTTTCATTTACACAACTGTAAAAAAGGCAAGAGAATATTTTAAAACAGGATGGAATCATTTGTGACTTTCCAATTATCATCTGACTACAATCTCCATCATCCTCACCTACTGTTCATACTGTCTAGGTCAGGGATAGGCAACCTTGGCTCTTTTATGACTCGTGGACTTCAATTCCCAGAATTCCTGAGCCAGCCAAGCTGGCTGGCTCAGGAATTTTGGGAGTTGAAGTTCACGAGTCACAAAAGAGCCAAGGTTGCCTACCCCTGGTCTAGGTTGATCAGATAGCAAAGTCTAAGTCCTCTCTAGTGACATGTTTATCCAGACACACTTCTGGGCACACAGTTCGACTTGTCTATTGACACAAGTTTTAATTGGTGTGTATGGTTTATTTGTTTTTGATTGAATTGTATTTAATGGGAAATTTATTTGCCTGTTTTCAAGGTTTAGACTTTTGTATCATTGATAGAAGCCTCCTGTGTTCATTTTGGTGGAAAAGATGGATATAAATTTAATAAGTGGGAAGGGAAGCAGCTTTCTACCCTTGTTTTAAAAATGTCCTGTGGTATCCGTGACCTTAGTCTAACTTGCAGGAAAATCAGCAAAATCTGCTCCAACTCATTCACCTTTCTCTTACAAATTCATGAACCCAATTAGCCTATGCCACTGTATCTTTACAACAGCATAAAGTTTATAACATGCCATCAAAAACCTCGTTGAACCAAATGCCAACTGTGGCAGGCTTCAATTGACCCCCTTTTTTTCCTTATCACAATTCTAACCATGCCAATGAAGAGATCTTATATTGGCATCACATAACAAAAATATTACAGGAGAAAGAAACAGTATGGCCAATAAACACCGAACTGGCTGCTTGATTTATGGCAGCTGTTGTACAAAAGGTGCTTCGGTCCACATGTCTCCAGCAAAATATTTAATCAGAGTAGAGCTGGAAGGGACCTTGGAGGTCTTCTAGTCCAACCCTCTGCTCAAGCTGTTGTACAAAAGGTGCTTCGGTCCACATGTCTCCAGCAAAATATTTAATCAGAATAGAGCTGGAAGGGACTTTGGAGGTCTTCTAGTCCAACCCTCTGCTCAAGCAGGAGACCCTATATCTTTTCAGACAAGTAGCTGTCCAGTCTCTTCTTAAAAACTTCCAGTGATGAAGCACCCACAACTTCTGAAGGCAAGCTATTCCACTGGTTAATTGTTCTCACTGTTAGGAAGTTTCTCCTTAGTTCTGGGTTGCTTCTCTCCTTGATTAGTTATCATCCATTGTTTCCTGTCTTTTTTCTGGTGCTTTGGAAAATAAGTTGACACCCCCTCTTCTTTGTGGCAGCCCCTCAAATATTTGAACACTGCTATCCTGCTTAGTCCTTCTTTTCTCTAGACTAGCCATACCCAAATCCTGCAACCGTTTTTTGTATGTTTTAGTCTCCAGGCCTTTAATCATCTTACTTGCTCTTCTCTGCACTTTTTCAAAGGTGTCAAAATCTTTTTTGTTATGGGGTGACCAAAACTGGAGGCACTACTCTAGGAGTGGTTTTACTAAGGTTTTATAAAATAGTACTAACTAATACTTCACATGATTTTACTTTATATTTACACTATATATTTACACTGCAGTGCAAACCATCCTGGAAAAGGAAATTCTTCCAATTTTACTTCCATACTCAATTACACTAGAAACAAAATTATTGGGGTTGTTGGGTTTTTTTTGCAAAGCTTTCTACCAAATTTCAAAATGGTTCAAATGTTAAGGGCCAACGTAGGATGTTAAGTGGTATCTCTTTAGCCTTATTAATTAAAAATTGATTCAGCTGATACATTTACAGCCTGTTCTTTTCTGTAGCCCTAGGAAATGTCCCCTTTTTGTCTTCCCTCCCAAATACAAAATGTGCTTATTACATGAAAACAAAAGCCTTATTTATCTGTGTATAAGATGGCATCTTTTGGAACTGAGCTTCTAAGCTATATAAGCAGCCAGAACAGAACAATTTACCAGTAGAAGTATGGGTCTTTTGCTTCCAGAGAAGCAAAAATACAATTCAATCTCTTTAGCATGAGAGGACAGCAGAAAAAAGGAGCTACAGGCTTGAGTGAGTTGCCAACTTCTGTTTTCAAACAATAATTCTGTTTTTCCAGACTAACAGAACAGTGTTTTTCAAGCTTGATCTTTTTTGAAACCAGTCTGACCTAGTGGTTAAGATACCAGGCTAAAAAGCAGGAGACTGTGAGTTCTTGTCCTGCCTTAGGCATGAAAGCCAACTGGATGGGACAGTCTCTCAGTCCAACCACCTCACAGGATTGTTGTGGGGAAAATAGGAAGAGGAAGGAATATTAGGCATGTTTGCCACTTGAATTATTTATAAAAAAAATAAACATATACCAACTTTAACAGTCTTAGTCTAGTAGACAATCAATTAAATATGAGCCAGCAATGTGTGGCGGCAGCCAAAAAAGCCAATGCAATCCTAAACTGCATTAACAGAGGGATTCAATCAAGATCATGCGAGCTACTAATACCATTCTATAAGGCAGGAGTGTCAACTGCTGGCCCATGGGCCGGATGCATGATAGCGAAACCACGCACACCCCATTGCAGGCAATGGCAAAAAAAGTTGTGATACATCGCAACACGTTACGTGACATTGCGAGTTTGACATCCCTGCTATAAGGTCTTAGTAAGACCACAACTAGAATACTTCATCCAGTTTTGGTCATCACACTATAAAAAAGAGGTTGAGACTCTAGAAAGTGTGGACAAAAAAATAACAAGGATGAGTAGGGGACTGGAAGCTAAAACATATGAAGAATGTTGCATGAACTGGGCCTGGCAAGTCTAGTGAAGAGAAGGACCAGGGTGACATGATAACAGTGATCCAATATTTGAGCAGCTGTCACAGAGAGGAGGGGGTCAACTTATTTTCCAAAGCACCTGAAAGCCAGACAAGGAACAATGGATGGAAACTGATCAAGGAGAGATTCAACCTAGAAATAAGGAGAAATCTTCTGATAGTGAGAACAATCAACCAATGGAACAGACTGCCTTCAGATGTTGTGGGTGCTTCATCACTGGAAGCTTTCAAGAAGAGACTGGACAGACATCTGTCAGAAATGGTGTAGGGTCTCCTGCTTAAGCAGGGGGTTGGACTAGATGACCTATAAGATCCCTTCCAACTCTGTTATTCTATTCTATACTTCTATACATGTGTGGACTTCAGCTCCTAGAATTCCCCAGCCACCATGGGAATTGAAGTTTGCACATCTTAAAGTTGCCAAGTTTGAAAAACACTGTGATTGAGCTATGCTTTATTATCAAGAGTCCTGGATGTTCTAAAATAGCAATTTGGATCAAGATGATCAAGGGTGCTGGAACTGGCATGGCATCATTTGATCTACTTGTCAAGTGAGACTTGAAGAAGCTTGGCTTATATCTGGTATCTCCTACTGAAAGACCAGAGACTGAGAAAAATATACTTTAAAGTTAAGGAGAGGCTAAAGAGACAGAAGCAGGGGTGCCTCCATCTTATCTCCTAACTCAAACAAAATAGAATATAGAATAATAGGGTTGGAAGGGACTTTGGAGGTCTTCTAGTCTCTGACAAATGGCTGTGCAGTCTCTTCTTGAAAACCTCCAATGATAGAGCACCCACAACTTCTGGAGGCAACCTTTCCTCTGATTATTTGTACTCATATTTCTCCTGAGTTCTAAGTTGGATCTCTCACCCATTACTTCTTATCTTGCCATCAGGTGCTTTGGAGACTAAGTTGAGCCCTTCTTATCTGAGGCAATCCCTCAAGGGCTGGAAAACTGCTATCATGTTACCCCTAGTCCTTCTCTTCATTAGACTAGGGATGTACAGCTACTTTGTAAGCCCAGGAAAAGGCATGGCTTCTTTAAGGAGTAGCTAATTGGCAAGGAGAATGTGCCCATGCTGGATCGAAGCACCCTTGCCTTTCTGGGATCCAAATACCTACCGCACTGTAAAATACCCCACACAAAACACAACGTACCTGAATCACAGGATGTCCCCCTGTTGGTGCTTTGACTGCCCCTCGACTCCCTTCCGTCTCATAATGAGCCCGATGATGAGGTTTGGGTTGCACCTCAATCTGTAATTCATAGGAGCCCGAATGGCTGGAAAGAGGCCACTCAAGAGGTGGAAGAGACTGAACAGGAATGCTGAGGAGAAGAAAGTTTGGGTTTAAGTTATGAAAGAAAAGAAGCTTAGCTCAATACTCACATAACAAGGACAGGCTGCACAATAATGATCCAAACAACTGGAAATCATGTTTCTTTTTCAAAATACAAGAGGACTGGATCAACCACTGATTAGCAAGAGATGGAGAACAATTACAAATGCTTTTTTGCTCAACTCACATCAGTGGGGTGGATTCTTTGCCTCACAATTTACAAACAGTTACTAACTAGGATAAAAACCAGTGGCAATTAATTCAAGAAGAATCAATGATAATGAAAGAAAGATTGACCCCAACCCTCCTGGCTATTCACAAGGCCCTGAAGGAACTCATAAGTTTTGCTAACTGGCATTGGGATCCAGGAGCATGGTAGAGCTGATGCAGCAGTAGTAATTTTGATGAATGGGATTACCCTGGTTGTGAGTTTTACATATTTCATTATGTTTTCTATATGCTTTTATATTGTTCTTTTCTGTTTTTTAAATTGTATTGGTTTTTTTTTCTTGTTTTTATATTTGTTTTATTTTTTTGTAAGCCACCCATAGTCATACATATGAGATGGATGGCTATATAAATTTGAATAATCAATCAATACTTCATACTAAAGGCTATGCTGGACCTCCAAAATCATCCTTTTCTTTCTCTGACTAGATTATCTCCACACTGACAGTGCAGAGCATCTTCAGTAGCCATTCAATCATCATTGTGTGTAAATATAGGTAAATGCAGAATGTAATGAAATATAGAAAATGATTAGCTGTCTCCTTGTCAAGAAGGAGGAACAAATTATGCTGCTTTCTACCCTGTAATGATTTTGCTCTCCTCCAATATTATGCGCTTTGATTTGCTGGGGGAACATGCATCTGCTGTTATCTCCAACAAAAGAATATCCAGGGCAGTTTAGGAGAAAAAGAACAGGAGTCAAGAATAACTCATTAAAATAAATCCTCCTCTATTATATGCAATCTGTCTCGCAGATATGCACATATCTATAAGACAAATTCTATACATTCTATAGAACTCCATATATGTGCAAGACATCTACTCACCTGCAGATTGGTATTGCAGGCATCAGCTGCTTTGGCCAAGATGGCGGCACTAAAAGGATTGAATCTGGTGGGGGGTTCCTTCGGTTGTCCTGCTCACAGGACCCAATGTATTCGATTGGCTGAAGCACATGACATGGCATACTGGCTTTGTGGGAAGCCACTGGCGAAGGATCTGGGGTGGTCCTCCATATTTTTGTGGGAACTCCACAGGAAGGATCAGTGGTGAGATTGTTCATTGCATCCATGAGACTTGATGAGGTGGACAACTGGGTGTAAGTGACTGTGGCTCCGTCTTCTCTCAAGGAGATGTGGGGAGAGGCTTGTGGAGAAGGAGTCCTCGACTGCCGTGGAGAAGAGTGCGGGTGCTGACTCCCGTACAGCTCAGTGCAAGAGTACCTCCGCTTTGCCCCTGGCGATGACGACCTTGAGTTGGGACGTGGTGATGGTGAACGTGGCCCCAAGCAGGTATCTTCCACAACAGTTGCTTGTGGGGACATTATTGGCGAGGTTCTAGGGGAATAATGAGCATGGGTGTTTTGAAACTGTGGACAAAGGTCATCACTAGGGCCATTATTTGGTGAAACGCATGGTGAAGTGTAAGGAGAGAAATTTGTCTCTGAAATGAAGCTTGCAGAGGAGCCACTGCTAGGAGGGCTCAGGCACAGCGGTTCTCGGTAGCTCTCAAAGCCAGGGACTGGCAGGGTAAACCTTGGGCTAGCAGTAGCTGAGCTGGACTGATGCTCTACCAATAGATCTGTGTCTCTGCTGCTGAAGGGCCCCCCTGAGTGAATCAGTTCATAAGATGGTGTTATCTCAATCCTAGGGCTCAAAGTAGGGAGACCTGCCGCCTTGAGAGGGTCCAAATAGCATTTTGACCCTATGCTATCTGGCTGTCCATATCTGCCCATGTGATTTGCCGAAAGGCTAGACAAAGCGAAGGGGTACGGCTTGAGGCCATAATCCGAGACATCGTCATGAGGGTAAGTAACTCCAGTGGGTGGGCTGATGATTTTATGTGAAGGAGTCGGTTCTTCTGGAAAAAGAAGGGTCGCTTTTAAGACTAGACATACCACTGCAGAAGCTGAGCAATCCTGGGTTAACAAGAAGGCATTAGCGATAGCGTTTTGGGAAAAGGTTGCATTATATCCAGACATCAATTGCATGCATAAGGCAGCAGGTCAGCCTTCTCAGAGTAGAAGCTCACTGGGCACTCTCCAAGTAAGAGCCAGAGAATGAAAAGAAATATGCCACCACTGCACCCAGAGTATCACATTGGCTTCAAAATATTTCATCCATCCACTCCAGTATTTCACCATCAGCTGCCTTCTGATCATGTTTTTGCTATGACTATTGGCAAGAGCACACTTGGTGTGGCTCAGAGAGCAAGTGACAGTTGCAGGATACAGGCTGGTCCAACCATACCCAGCCTGCTCTGTTCTACCTTTGTTATAGCACCATGCCACCAAATACCAAACAGCTGACTGATGCACTGGCAGCAGCAATGTGATTCCACATTCAGTACTGACCCTCCAGATAGCCTTCTCTTACTGCTTGCATCCGTGACAGCCTGCTTCCAACCCCATCTTTGGTATGCCACTGACAAACATTTATTTGGGTACCAGTCTTCAATCTTCAGCCCATTGTTGGTCATGTTTTCTTTCTCTGGCTCATCTAATTTTTGTCTACCTGGGCACAACCAGATCCTAGCTGCAAATCTCCCAGATTCCAATTTGAGTGCAACACAATGTTGAAATGTCCCTACTCTTAATTTCTAAAAGAAGGGAAATGTTATGATACACTCAGACCTATGAACAAACATACAAACAAACAAACATGCTTACTTCATAATTTTCTAGCATCCTGGTTGTTGTAGTGCATTAGAAAGTCAATAGACCAACACTATAAACAGTAAACCAATACTCAATTACATTTAATTTAAGGTGTTTATGACAAATGCTACATGTACATGGTTTCTAAATGCCAAAGAGGGCCAAACTCAACTCACACAGTAGTGCTTTCCATCACATGAGAGCAATGCAAGAAAAGTCCCTTTGTAATACATCAGGCAATGATATCAAGAGCCAAGCCACCAAGCATATTTTGAGGAGGGTTTGCTCTTCCAATTTAACACCTGGACAGTTCCTAAAGTAAAAGACATTCCTCAGCTACTCGCCACCCATTTAATAATGCGATTATATGCTTACTGTATATGTCCATCACACTATTCCTTTAGAGAATGGAATGGTTGGCAGACAGCAGAAAAGGAGTAAAAGAGCATCTAAACTTCAGCACCATTCACTGTTCCTCTCCACATTTTTTCTATTCTTGCCAGTTGTTACAGCTTCCCCCCATATCCATATATTGTGTTCTTTTTTACATTTCTTACCTGTCTTTTCAGCTATTTCAACCACAACTTTCTCAGCCTTCCTCTTCCTCTCAAATCACCCATTCTTCCTTCATGCATTTGTTTTGTATTCGGTTGTTCTGCCTATATGACCAAACCAGTTTAACAGATTTCTTTCATACTGGTGAACCTCTTTTTGTCCACTTCTCAGTAATTCAACACTCAGCCCAAAGCTTCAAAAGGCAACTGGACTTTCTTGGTTGTAGCCAGGAGATAAGTGGTGTGAATGATATGAGATAGGATACTACATTATCTCCTTCTCCCAGAGAGCTAACAATGACTTTCAGAATGCTAACCACCAGATCCTTCCATTCCCCACCCCCATTCAGTCAGAACTGAAGAAGCTTCTTGGATGAGAAGTAAAACATTTAAGGGAAAAAAACAAAGAAAGTCCAGCTACCTTTTGAAAAACACCTTTGAGACAACCATGACCTGGATGATTGAGAATTGCCACAGGCATTTATTCAACATTCATTCTGTTGTTTAAAATATAAATTATTGCTGCATTTTTCTTATTTTCTTCTTGTGATAACACAGGAGCATAAACATCTGACAATGATTTGTTAAAAGAACTGTGGTTTAATATACAATATGAAACAATATTCAGGGAGCATACATAATACAAATAGTCATTTATATTCAAACGGTTGAAGTGAGCAAGCAGGTTCCAACTGCTATTCTCGTAGAGACAGTCTCTTAAAGGGATATTATCCCCAAATACTCTGTTGATTCATTCTCTATATATCACTTCTACCGGTCAGCTACTAAATCATAATTACCTTGACACATTCTTGTCCTTGTCTCTTGTTTTACTATGCACCCTTCTTAAGTTCATTCTACATTCAACTTACTACACTTCTCCTGACATATTAAACTTTTACCTCCATATGGAAACTAATCAAAGAGATAAGCAACCTAGAACTAAGGAGAATTTTCCTGACAGTTAGAATAATTAATCAATGGAACAACCTGCCTCCAGAAATTGTGAATGCTCCAACACTGGAAGTTGTTAAGAAGAGACTGGACAACCATTTGTCTGAAATGGTATAAGGTTTCCTGCCTGATCAGGGGGTTGGACTAGATGACCTCCAGGGTTCCTTCCAACTTTTTTTTTAATTTTTATTTTATTGTTGTTGTTATATTAAAAAGTGAGCAAACAAACACCTGGCCATTTTTGCTTCTTTTGGCAACCATTAATTTATTATAACAGTCCTCGTACTACCCATTATCTTTCTACTAGCATTTGCACATCTCAAAATTTCTCATTCATTTTCAATAATCATTTTACCAAGATACTGAGATTTGCTATTTGCTATTAACCCAACTTCCCTTACAAGGTTGTACTTGTGTGATAAAATGGATAAAAACCTCAAAAAGTTTACATATATTTTTAAACTACCTACTAGTATTGCCTAATAAAGAGTTATTCAAAACCATGCAAGAATAAAACACTGTAATTTAGCAACTCCTTTGTTTTCTTTTTTAAATTTTACAGCTGCCTCAATCCCTAGGGATTTTTCAACTTAATTATTATTCTACTATAGATGTTGCCTTTTTATTGCAGACCAATACAACTAATTTTGGTTTTGCCCATTAAAAAAATAGATCATCACAACACCCATTCAAACATGACTCCTTTGTAACAGAAAATTCTAACTGCATTGAGTTCTTCTACTGTATCTTTAAAAATGTTATTAGAATTCAAGGATTTTTTAAAATAAGAATTTATAAAAAAAAATAAGTGGCTTTATCTTTCACAAACCAAAAGAACATTTAAAGAATTTTCTACTGAAAAATGAAGAATCTAGGGAAACTATTTTTTCATGCAAAATGTACACCTTTAAAAATTATGGCAATATATGCTTTTAAATGTTTAAAATATTCAGTTGAATAAAAGCTTTGGCAGATACATAGCAGCCAAACAAAAGAACAGCTATGTGGCCATAAAGCTCAAACTTTGCACAGTTCCATATATAATTTCAAACAATGGATGGTTTCTTTCCATCAGACAGCAGTAGGGGAATTTATCTAACCACTCACCAATAATAAGGTATCCATGTAATATTTTTAAAGATCTTTTAGATCTTATATATTTCCAATTACATTGTTCATGTGACAGCAGGAAAAGAGTCTAATGTAGTGCCAGAAAAAGGATGAAATGTCATTATGACATTCTCAAGACCTTATTAAAAACTACTTTCAAATTATAGTTAGGATATTGATTACCCAAAATCTAAGCATCTTTCAGAATTGGCTGGAGGGCTGGGTTTCCATCCTAGCTTTGTGGAATATAGACAGAACCAAATTAAGAGACACTGGCTGGCTTCATGTATCACATTGAGCCATGGGGTTGCTTTTTTGACTCTAGATCGCCCTAGGATCCAGGCACTGTGACCTATTCAATGAACTGTAATTAAAACAAAGTATAACTTAACATGATAGCCGTATTAATAAATACGGTTTACAACCATTCATTTAGATGTTACAACAGTAGTGAAAAAAGCAACTTATGACCAGTAGTTGCACTTATGATCACTGCAATGTCTCCACATGATCCGAATACCAGTTGTGATAGCCATTGGAAACCTTTCCAGCTGGCTTCTGACAATTAAAGTCAATGGGGGAGGGAGACTGGATTTGCTTAACGACTGTGTGATTCACTTAAAAATTCAATGATTTGCTTTAACAATCTTGATAAAAAAGGTTGTAAAATCAAAGATCAACTTCTTGCGAGAAGTCATACCGAAAAGGCCAAATATATTTGTATTTTAAATTAATCCTATGTTTAAACTCACACGTGACACAGAATCATGTGTAAGGACTCACCTCAACAAAGCACCCAAGAAAGCAGAACTCTTGAAATGGGCATTATCTCAAAATGAATTTTTTTTAGGGGCTAGGGACAGTAAGAAAGCCAAGGTGAGATCTGGGGAAAATCCTGCTCAAATGGTATAGTTCAGTGATGGCGAACCTTTTAGAGACCGAGTGCCCAAACTGCAACCCAAAACCTACTTATTTATCGCCAGGTGCCAGGTGGGCGTAGACCACTGGGTGGGCGTGGTTGTGGTGGTCATGGCAGATTGGGTGGGTGTGGCCAAGGTGGGCGTGATCACCTTGATATTGCTCGTGGGGAGGGATGCCTGTGGGGGCCGGGCATGTTGGGGGAGATCCAGGGGGTCTCTGGCAGGTGGGGCGGTGGGCAGGAGGTTCGTCCTGCGGGATGAGGCGAGGCAAGGTGAGGCAGGGCGGCGGTGCCATTGTCACAGGGCAAGACAAGGCAGGGGCCGGGGTGGCTGCTGCCTGACACCATTGGCCCCCACACACAGAGGCCAACGAGCGCATGGGTGCTGGGATGCATCTGGCCACGTGGGACCTCGGTGAGTTAGTGGGCGGCTGGTTGAAGAGGGACGGTTGCCATCTCTGGGGCAAGGCGGGTGTGCCATAGGTTCGGCACCACTGGTATAGTTAAACTATCAATCTTCTTCCTCCCACCAAAGTCATAATGTTCATTTGAAATCTAGCCAGTCCACAGGTGGCACGATGTTGGGGTAACTGGCACAAGTTGGCATCTCAAGGTCTTCTCCAGTTTTGTTTCTCCGTAACTGTCTTCCTGATAAACAGCAGAATGA